GAGAGAGAGACGCCGAGTAAATTGTTCATTGTGTATTTCTCTGAGCGTTCTCCAAAACATATCGCCAGTCAGATTTTAAGTTCCGTGAAGGCGGTGAGTGAGCTACCGAGGCGTGTTTCCGTTTCCTCGAGGCTATGGCCGGATTCGCGAGGCTTCACGTTCGCCTCCACGAGATCGCAGAGGGCACGTGAGCTACGTCGATTCACTGGCGTTGAAAATCTCTGGAGTAAAAGAGAGAAAAAAATACTCCACTTACACAAAAATATTTTATCTCGATAAATTTCAAATTAAATGTTCAAAGATATATTTCGTATTTTTTGTCCAATTATTTAATCTTTAAAGGCGTGAATCTATATTTTTTAAATTTTACAGCTCTTGAGTAGGATTTGTTTAATGTATCATTTCATTGTACTCTTTTGCGATTTTAAAGAACGGTTTTGATAAAAGATGTAAAATTTTGTTAGATATAGATCTGAAAATAATTTTGTTGGACTATTAAATTTATTTTCAAATCTATACCTAGCAAAATTTTTAGATAATTTAACAAAATTCTATTCTTTCTATGTTGCTCAAATTATGACATGTTTTAGCCATTATAGTGACTTTTTCCTGTAAAAGTTTATTCGCACAAATCCAAGACATTAAATTTTGCGATAAATGTCGTCAAAATATATATTTCCTTTTCTCTAAATCTGAATCAGTGGATAATCACTGATATCAGTGAATTAAATGTGAAGATCTCTAATCTATTTTTTTATTAATCTTTATTGTATGATCTAACTAATCTTATTTTATAAATTCAATGAATGTAGTATTAGAAGATTGAAATTAACATGTAAATATCAGTATTTTAATTATATAATGCTCAAACATTCTTCATTTTTTTAGTTGAACTTCACTGATTATCCAATGCCAAGTATTGAAGTATGTCACTGGGTAATTAGTGATTATGCACTGATTCAGATTTAGACAATTCCAAACGATGGAAAAGCCGAAAGTGTTTTCGGCAAAGGACTTTGCACTCGCATCCTGAAATTCATATGTCTATGTCTATGTTTGCGGTCAACGAGATGTATTATTATCATCACTGTATAGCGACGCGGCGAAGAAAGGACATGGCGCGCGTGTGCGTGCGTGCGTGCACGCGTGCATATAAATAACCGCATATGGGCCGCATGCGTGCGCGCGCGCGCGTGTGCAAGTAACAATGCGCGCCCGCGTACAGCGGGGATATAATGAGAGACGAGCGGGGAATTAATTGAGGTGGCGATGTAAGAAGCATACTTTCGGACGTGTCTGTGACGTCTCGTCATTATTCTCTCTTACGGAACTGCTGCATTGTGTAATTAAATCGTTAAATCGCTCACGAGAATGAAAGGCTCGAGTTACTTGTCATGTTCATTACGAGAGAACTGTTTATCGCATAAAAGAAAAAATACGAAGTTGTCTATATTTTATTATTATCTCCGACAATTACATAAAATCATTACAACGCGAAATGATTGTTTCCGTGTATTTGAAATGAACGCTCGAGAAGCTTTCCGGCACCTATCTATTGTACATTATTGAATTTCGATGAATGAAGGCGGACAATTGGCGCCCGTTTATTGTCGCCCGACTATTGTCGCGCGCAATCGTTTATGCAAGAAAGACGAAAAGGATGTGCGAAAGGAAGCTGCGCGGCTACGATGCCGTGGATCTATTTCCCATCCGTATGAGAGAGAGAGAGAGAATGCCGGCTCGTTTCCTACCTTCCGCTGTGAATGAAAATGCTTGCGACATGCACACACAAGAGTGAGAGGAAATCCGCGTAGCGTGACAAACGCCTTTTCATTTCGAGAGCCGTGGTCGAGCAGATTCCGTTTTAATGACTTATGATGACTTTCGCGTATTTGCGCTTCTTTTTCTCATACGGAACGTATTCACGCCTTGCAGAAAACAATAGTTGCTTTCTGTTTTCATGCAAGTGATACTCAGTCTAAAGTTACATGAGTATTTTACACTCAGATAGTGATATCACTGCTTGCTTGCTTTGATGACAAAGTTATCGCGTAATAACACAAGATTGTAATCTCACTTTTAATGTGAGTTAATAAGACTCAGGAAAGCACATCTCGAGCTTGTGCAGATTGTAGATAAAAACTCAGTTGAATCTCACTTGTCAAAATGAAAAGGAATTCAACTGTGTTGTGATGTAACAAATGAGAATTATTTGAGTGTTGAGATATAAATAGAAACTAATGTCGCGTCCAGAGTGACGTCTGACTTTATCCCGTTAACTGTGTTGAAACAGTGGCTGACAAAGTGACACTGTGTTGTCGAGGGTCATTGTTTCACAAACATATTATATTTCTCTCTCCTTTTTGATGCGGTTGCATAATTCTTTTATAGGCGCGAAATCGATAAGGCAGATAAAGAGGCGAAGGAATAAAGTAGCAGCGGTTTTTTCCGGACTGTTATAACGGCACCGTAGGTACTTCGCAAGGGTGCATAATATTGCACATTGGATGCACCTTGCACAAATGCCGCAACCTGTCGGCGAAATTTGAGTTATCGGATGATGGGGTCTCTATGAATACGAGTCATTTAGCGTCGTAACCGACATACAAAAGCAAACGGGGGGAGAGAATTGCGACAAGGTCATCGATATGAAGGGGTTGCGCCAACATGTATTAGCAAGTGTTTTCATTGTAGTTGTTCTTTTTCCCCTCCCTCTTTAATACTAATCGACTTTCATAGCGAATTCGGTTGGATGTACTTATAGTGCACATAAAACAAATTGACGTAAAGATATAAATTTCGTATAAATATAAAAACAAGTAATTAAACTGCAAAACTTTCAATACACTTTATCGTGTTGTTTGATAAAACAATACTTTATATTTTAAAGTATTTGCATTTTACTTTTACACTTAGATTAGATCAATATTTTAATATATATGGAAGAAAAAGATTGGCTGTTGCAGCAAATTAGATGGTAAAATATGGCATAGTATTTTTAATTGGCTGCAGCAGCCAATTTTTGGTTGCATTAGCCTATCTGCAATGTCAGTATAGGATTCCGATAGGCTAATGCAACTAAAAATTGACTGCTGCAACCAATTAAAAATGCTATGCTATATTTTACTATCTAATTTGCTGCAGCAGCCAATCATTTTTTTCAATAGACTTTTATACTTTTAGATTAGATTAATGTATTTTAATATAAGCAATTTTAATATATACGCATAATTCGTCAAATTAAATTTGCTATTATATTAATTAATTTGTGCTATTAAAGTGTCTATCACATTGGAAATGAAAAGCATCAAATTCTCGCGAATATCCGTTGTATCGATTGGCGAGACTTCGATTTCATCTCTTCAACTCGATATAGATCCAATAACTCCCTTCACTTCAGGTCATAATGATGTTTCTTTTCGCACGTAAGTCGATTCGGTGTCTCCTTCGTGCAAATTGAATTTTATCCGACAGAAAAAGTTCTCTCCTGGAGGAGATCGCGCCCTTTTGATATATCTTCTATAATGCAACCGCCTTTAATTTAATCGTGAAAAATTAAATTAAAAATCTTCTCTTATATCAATATATCATTCCTGCATCGTTTTTGAAAATGCCCGCATGGAAATTAAGTGAAATATCGGACGCAAGAGATCGAACGAATTTTGTGGTCTTTGCGCGTGACGGATTAAAGGGATATGGGTACCTGTATAAAATTTCTTCGTGTGATGCCGTGTGACGAATATCATTTTTCTTCCCTTTTTATTTGTTATTATGTAATTTGTAGTTCGCGCGGCGATCTTGGTCCGCGTCGTCATGGGATGAGAGGCGCATCTTGAATCCCATGGAAACACGATCTTCCTCTCGATACGCTTCGAGCTGCGCACATTTCCAAGTCGGGAACCAAAACGGAGGCGCGCTCGTGGATTTATTTATTTCTATTCGATTCGATAGAAGTAATTTATCAATTCTTTGTAAAGTTACAACCGCTTCATTTTCACTTAAATTTTAAATTACTAACCGAACGATAATACTCTCAGAAGGCGTTTTTGATTAAATTATTGTACAATTGGAGATTCTTTCACTAATCATTTTCATTGTGAAACGGTAGTTTCGGCCATTAGAATGGAATTGTATTCCTAGTGAATCTCACGTGAAAAGAGAATCGTGCGAACCAACTTTGACAGTTGCCTAGTCTAGAGGTTGAAATTAATGGAGAGGAGTCGTAGTCCTCTCTTCCAGCCGCTTCGTATATCCTAACTCTCTCTGGTCGGCGATGTATCCCCGATCTCGTGCGTTGGGGTGGCCGGGTGCATCGTGGCCAGGTAAAGGGCAGCTGTCCACCAGGTGCCAGTCTACCCCTCCATGCACCTCCATCTCCGAGAACGGTGGGGATTCGGCCGGTTTCATTGGATGCCGGCTCGCGCGCGTTACGGCAATACTCTCGCGCTCCGCAACAGAAAACAGTCAGTCGTCCCAGGGCGCTCGACGGGGCACGCAGGCGATTTGCGATCTACGTGCTAGATCGCCCCATTCGTCGCCGTGACACGCGGTCTTGTTCGCAAGTCCCTTTTCTCTCTCTCTCTCTCTCTCTCTCTATATATATATATATAGCTTTCTCCTTCTCTCTCTGTCTTGGGTTTGAGATTTGCGCAGTGATCGCGACGTCCACCCGTTAGACTCATCGCCAAATTAACGACAGTCTGAACGGGAAAGGATTACGGATTCACGTTTAATTTTTATGTCTCGGTCGTTTTCTCCATCAGATTTTCTTCACATTAACGTTTTCGTTTAGAGTAGTTTCATGATTTTGACGACCGAGCGTAGTGTTGTGAAAGAGAAGCTGAGGGAGTAAATCTTGTCTTCGCGATCAGTGTCCGAAAGTGCGATCGTCAGTGAGATCATCGGAATTAGATCGTTCGTAATATCGATTTCGCGCCGTTTGCTCCCCTATTTCCAATCTTCATCTACATACCCCCTGTAGTCGCGATTTTTCGCGTCTGACTCGCGAGAGCAGTACGGCCACATTTATGGGGGTGTCCGGAGAGTGTGCGATCAAGGGCAGCAAAAGCAGCCACCCCTGTCACTGCTGCAGCCACGTCGGCAGTTCCGGCGCGAGCGTGCAACAGTCGCAACAGCAGCAGCAACAGCAGCAGCAGCAATCCTACGAGCCGTATCACCATCACCACCATCAGCACCATCATCATCACCATCATCATCATCATCACGGCAAGCACGCACCGCCAAGCGCGTCGCCGCAGCACAACAACAGCGGCGACAATAACATCCTGGCACCGTTGCGCAGCAAGATGAAAGTGCTCAAGAAACTCAAGCGCAAGATGGGTCTAGGTGAGCCACACCTCCATCACTTCCTCATTGTCTCTGATACTTTCCGGTCACTGCTCGGCCGATCATGCGACTAATCGATCGATCACAAACCCTGCTCTGCACTGCTCTGAGATTTGTCCGATTTTGCCGGTCAACGACATTCGGAAGGCTTCCTTTATAAATGAGGCTTGATGGAACAAAGTTTATCCAATAATTAACCAATAATGTTTGGATTCATCAACTTCTGATTTTACATATCTGTCTATTTACAGAATTTAATATTTTTGAATTTGATTGCGAAAAAAATTGACTTCCCCCATATATATATACTTTTATTGATGTTTTATTGTTAGCTAATATTATATCGTGTATCGTGTATCATCATACTCCCAAGCTCTTGCCAAAGTGATCTGCATTCAAATCGTTGCTGTAAAATTGAATTCATCGAGCGTCCCAATGAATATTGCTGAAACCGAGTGGTAAACTCTCTCGTCATCGAGGAATGAATCTCCAAACTCTAAAACGGATAGAACGAGCGGGGAAACAATTTTGGCTTTTCCCTGCGGTTCGTCGGCGGTTTATCGCGAGTCCAATAATTGTTGACGACGGATCTGCTGCCTTCAACTTTTCACCATATTTTGGGAGAAGTTTAACTATATTATTATTATACTATTATTACTTAGGAAGGTATTTGTGTTGAGAGGCGGTTTTTAATTGTAATAAAAAATTAATATATGTTTTATATATGGGGAAACGATTTAACTTGTAGATAGAACTTGTAGATAATAATTTTGGGGAAAGAATGAACTTTTAATTAAAAATTTGTTATTAATGTTGTATGTACTAGATTTTTGCAGACCAATCGATCTGTGATAAGAAGAATAGTTTTGCTGAAATCTCTAAAAATTTAGCTAGTTACAAATCTGAAAATAATTTGGTTTGGATCATCAAAGTAATTTTGTACGATCAAGCTGATTGGTAGAATATTGAAACTTTTTGTAGCATTGACATTAAACATTTTATAGAATTATTTTGTCCAACAAAATCATTTTTTGCAGATTTATTATATATGGCTAAATTAATTTTTAAATACTTCAGCAAACCCATATCCTTATTGGATATGTGATCGATTCTAAGTTGATACGATACAGTAAAAGTTGATCGAAAAGTACTGGATACGAAGGAGCTTCGTACAACTGTTCCAATTTCAGAATGTATCGTCACGCTTGTTTTCATTTAAATAAAAGCTCATTTCGTGGCGAATTTACTGCCTGAGTTGTGTTTCGTTGACCGACTTTTCCTTCAATGGACGATCCGTTGAATTCCACAAGGTAGGCGCAGCACAAAAGGATATATAGCTTCTCATTGACTTGAGCTTCTTCGTTTCTCATTTCCAGCATCCTGCAGCGTTTTTATCGGGTATCTTTGTTTTGCGATTCAGTCTTTCATATCGACAGTTTCTCACAAAGTAATCGGAAACTACTTCTCAATTGCGCGATTTTTGTTTTCGAAACTTATTGCCATTCTTTTCTTCATCTTTCACATGTTCATCATCACAAAATTTTGAGCATGATGATGGGGGAAACAAAAGGAACACCGAAGATTTAATTCGATTGTGTTGAATCACAATTTTTACTTTTATTTACTTAGATTGTTTTAGAAAGGATTAAATTGAAGTCCACTTAAACAGTAATATAGAATAACAGAAAATCGAACTAATACTCTTAATTAATGATTCATGATTATATACATATATATTATTTTTTTATATAATTTATACATCTAATTAACATTATTAGTATGTACGTGATAATGTTTGAAGAATATTCATATGATACTTTTTGTAGGTACACGATTCCAAGAAAATGTTTTTGTTTGTGGCTACATTCTTGTTGTATCTGTACATTCCGGTGTAATCTGATGACCGAGATCTTTAAATGCTATTTCCCGGCAAGATTTGTAACACGGTTTTTTACTATCAGACAAAGCGTCAGTTGTTGTCGATTGAAATCGAGGTTAAAGGTTATAAGTGGAGTTTTACGAATGGAATGAAGTGGAGTGGAGTGGAGAAAGGAAAAAGAGTAGTTTTTCTTACTTACGTGATAAATTTTACGTGTCAACGACGTTCCTCTACCGGGAGGTTTCTGGGGACCAACGCAAGCCCTTTGTGGGAGGGCTTTGAACCGTTGAAGATTTGTAAAAGGGATACGTACTACTGGGATACTTTATATCAAAGAGGAATTGTTTTAAACTTATTCTTGCGTAGTTTTAATTATTTATTATTATATCAATAAATACGTAATATGACTTTATTATTATAAATCTGTTCTAATTTTTAAGCTTATATAATTTTTTAAATCTAATTGGCAAAAATTTTACACTGTATTTACATCTTTCGCGAAGTATAATATGAATTAAATAAGTAAGAAACAATATGCAATATGTTGCAGTTTTTCGTAATTACTTGAATCTTATTTTTATTGAGCACTAAAAAATTATAATTTTTTTTTTAAGGATAATTTTGTTGTAGTCTTGATTGTTCGATCAATTCTTTCTTCATTTCTGCAATTGTGTATAAGAGAAGTAGCTTTTACCTCTATCTCTCTTTTCTCTTTTCCTCTTTTGATCAAAGAAAACTGGAGAAAACAGCTCACGAAGCTACCTTGAAATTTCGAAGTTGTTTCGTTGGTTGCTTTGCATGAAACATTTGGCCTAACTGTATTAAAATATTCTACAGTTTTGCTTTTGTTATTTATTTTTATTTCTTTAGAACATATAACAATTTTTACTTTGAGAAAAAAAATGGAGAGAAAATCAACAAGATCAATATATAACAAGAAGAATATTTCTAGTAAGATAGGACGCTTTTTTGCTATCATCATCATCGCGGAATGAATGAAACGAAGAAAGTAAGTGATCGTATTGCTTCTGGGATACTCTTTGCTTTTCCTTCTTTTTCTTGTTTTTATTTTGCGGCTTGGTGAATCACTCGATTGCAGAGATTCTCAATCTTTTTACTTTCTCATCCTCATCGCGACTCCTTTTTTTTCGCTCTCAATAGCCGCGGCTGAGATTTCTTTCCTTCTTGCGTCTGTTATAACCAGTTTGTCTTACAATTCCATCTCGTATTTTTTTCTTTTTGTCCTCGTAACCGGGATTATGTTGTTCGATCATCAACAAGGAGAAAAAAAGAGAGAATTTTTTTTCGCGTTCAATCGTGCAATCGAGAAGTGCCGGTCATGACTGAACTAAAGTTGATTTACCTGTTCGAGGAAAGGGTCCTTTTCCCCTTTCCGATCTGAGTCACTGAAAACGATTGGTGACGCATTAAGTTGCTGGCCGTGACGAAACGTTATTGCAATGTAAATTGCATAATGCTGCGTTCGCGCGTGCATACAAACAATGTATCACCTGCGTCGGATATGATTCAAGGAATCAGAGTTTCCCACAAGTTTCACTTTGCTATATCTATTGAAATCTTGATCTTCGGTTATTAACATACTTTCGAATCCACAATAAATGTTTAAACCTTGATTTATCGATTTATTGAATTCAATGAGAGAATTAATTAAAGTATAAAGTATTGACGTTCTTGGAATTTGAAGTCTTTTATATGATAAAGTTTTCTTACTTATTAATTTTCTTACTTATATATTTATTAACTTAGTTATAACGTAACTCGAATAATAATTTATTAAATACACGTTCATGTACACGCACATACAGTGTTGTTAAAGTAATTACTATCGTCTAATCATGTATTTCTCATGGTATCTCCTCAATTAGTTAGAAATAGAATGTCTTACGGTTTCTGCGTGTCTGTCGAGTCCTCTTTCCGGAATGGGTGAGCCTTGCAAGTCGTCCAAGTTGTCTCGTAGAAGAAGATAGCCCAAGGAACGATCACTGACCGTCCTCACTGACTCGACAACCTCGCACACCCACCCACCCACTTTCCGCTTCGCCGTGTGACGTCAGAGAGCGAGCCGCGGAACCCGTCTTTGTTCCCACAAGCGTTTCGCGAACCGGTTTTGCGGTTCATGATGCCGCGTAGTGTTCCTCTCAGCTGGTCGGACCGTTTAATCGGGGGAATTCTCCGCCTATTTTAAGGGTTCGGCGGCCGTGTCCTTAAGAGTCAGTCCTTTCCAAGAAGCGTTCATTCATCCTTCCTTCCTGAATAAGGACGGAAGCATAGAATCTTGCATAACGCATAAATCAATGAAAGTCCTTCATTTCCGTGAAATAAAAAACTCTGATTGGTTGACTTTTTATACTTTAAGCATTATGCGTTATGCAAAGATCTGTGCTTTGGCCTTAATGATTCTAAATGACAGTAATAACTGGCATGCATATGCCAGTAAGATATAAGCATATCGGAATTCATAACTGCAGCACATTTACCACATTCTTATCTCAACAGGATACATGCATGTAAATAAATATATACGTAGTATATCTATGTATATACACGTAGTATATCTATATGTATATACACAAACCGCAGAATGAGTTCAGCGAACTTCAAATGGATTATTTAATCGAAAACGGAGTTAGTTCGTGTAAATCTGTGAATATCAAACAAAGTTCTCGCCAAATAAAAATCTGTTACATATAAAGCCATGCCATTTCATGAGACGCGAAAAATAGCGTCAGCATAATCATGTGCTCTTAACTTGACACTGAAAGTTGGATTTATTCAAAATTGACGCTAGACAGTGAAAATGTATAAAAAAGAATGCAGTTTTGGGTGTCTTTCAGCAAGTGTCTTTCAGCAAGAGATACAAATAATACAGTGAATCACATTACCTATCCTTATTGTTTATTAATATTAAATATTGTTTATTAATATTAATAAAGATAAAATGATCACTATGTTACACTACCTTTTACTGGAAAGCACTATTTGTGTGTAGCGTTCGGTTTTGAGAGCTCTGAAAGTTAGATTTGTCTAAATTCCATAGCGTCAGATATCTCAAAGGAGGATGTCTATAATGATTCATTGTATTACATTGTCATCTATATCT